GCAACATGTGTTAGTGAAGAGATTGCTTACAACTAAGATAGCTGACTAAGCGGGCTGATGGCTCACAGCTGCTCATGAGACAGCCTGAGGGCAGACTATCGCCTTCTCCTGCAGAGGCAAAATCTTGATTCTCGTCAGCCAACTTTTCTCCTGCAGGACATTTGTCCTCGTTGGTCTTACTCTAGACCCGTAAAACGTGAGGGAGATTGTGAACTGTTGAATCTTCCGAGAACACTAAACAACTTTACTAATTATGGTTATGTACAGTACATGATCATATTGTCCAAACTGTGTGTCCTGATGTATCAGCAGTACTTACATGTAAGATGTTTTTAACAGATTTTGGCCGAATTATATTCATCCCCTCAACGTAGAGGGTCTTATTGTCCTGTGCTGCCACAATCGCTCCTATGAGCGATTACAATATATATATATATATATATATATATATATATATATATATATATATATATATATATATATATATATATATATATATATATATATATATATAACAAAAAGTCTGTCTGTCTGTCTGTCTGTCTGTCTGTGTGTCCCAGCACGGAATCTCAAACTACTTTACAGATCTGGACCCAAGCTAGGCATGGATAGCAGTATCATGTGGAATCTCAAAAAAACTCCAACCAACCAGATCAAACACACCCAACCCGGCCGGACCCGACAAGCCTGAAGAACAAGAAAGAGAAAACTAACAGTCAGCCTCAGCAGCACCTACGTAGAAAAAGTGTATTCACTCCTATGATTTACAGCTATTTTGATCCTTAGGTTCTCTTTCATTATGGCTTACTTTTCTCTGCATCTAACCTCCATCCATTACACTACACAGAGGTTGAAAAAGTCATGTCCCATCCCGCGTATTATAGGTAATTTTATCATATGCTCTCTCTCATTGCAACTTAATTTCTTTGATCTCTAACTTTTCCTAGGCTGTCCACATTCTAACAAGGTAGGTAGGTAGAGTAGTCCATTCTAACGAGGTATGCCAAACACGATATTTCTGAGCTAAAATCAATGTCCTTACATCCTACTTTAGTAAATCTATTCCTTACTGCTGGCCATCTATATTAACCAACCGAAAGAGCGTCTCTATATAAATAAAAGAAGCGTCGCTGGCTGTTCACCTGGAAAATGGACAAAAGAGTATACTTCACAGAAGAGTCCCTCCAAAATCAAATGGCATATCACTGCTGATATGACCTCATTGTATTCTTCAAGCTTTCACAGGAAGATGAGTTTGCTCAAATCCTCCTGTATGTTGACGTACCCTAGTTCTACATATGGCAGGCTTCAATGAAAAAAGTTCCAGAAGAGCTCAAGGATCCCGTGTTGAACGATATCCAGGGATAAGAATCCAGGCAATAATTTGGGGAAGTGTCTACACGGTTCACCCCAACAACTTTGAATACTGTGTTTGAGACTACTTTTGCACCACATCGTGGCCCAACATCATATGCAGCATGCAAGACAGTGAATGGACAAGTCTGCAGAACCTGTCAGGAAGCGTGCAATATCCTTGGCCTACTGGAAGATGATGAGGTCACTGGAATGACTTACATTAGAAGGCAGCAGCTACTCAATCATAATGAGAATGAGAACCTGTTTGCCATCATGATTGCTACATATGGACTCCAACCCAAGCCAGCTCTGGAAAACCACCAGAAAGTCTTTCAGAGGTCTGCTTCATCAAACGAAGAAACATCCTGGTCAAGAGAGATTAGGTTCATCGATGACATATTTCCTTGAGGGCTCTCCATCATGCTGGAAGACAAAGTGATGGAGGCTATGCAGAAAAAAACCTGACTGATTTTGGTTGCCTTCTCCAAACCAAGAAGAACCAGTAGCTGCCAACAGGGGAGTTGAAGTTCTGGTGAATTTTGCTGAAGAAAATGAGCTCACCTGGTGCCTGATCAAAGCAAATGCTTATGAACAGATCTTGCAAGCGATACAAGCGGAGCAGGGAGGTATGATCTTTCTCGATGCACCTGGCGGGACAGGAAAAAACATTCTGATCAACCTTCTGTTGGCCAAATGCGTCATCATGGGAAAATTGCTCTTGCTGTGGCATCCTCAGGCATTGTCGCAACTTACTACTAGAAAGGAGGACGTACTGCACCTCAACTTTTAAACTGCCTCTCCAACCTCGCTCTGTGGAATCAGTGTGCAACATCAAAAAAGGATCGGCAAAGGCAAACTCTTAGAAAAATGCAGCCTCATAGTCTGGGATGAATGCACTATGTCTCTAAGTTAGCATTTTGGAAGCATTGGACAGGACCTTACAAGACATGCAGAAAATGACCAGCTCATGGGTGGCATTACAATGGTCATTGTTGGAGACTTTCTCGCCAGACCCTACCTGTCATTCCTCAGAGAATGCTCCAGCTGATGAACTGAATGCATGCCTCAAGGCATCATACCCCGGAGAAGTGTTCAGACACTCACCTATCCTAAACATAGAGTACATCTACAAGGAGATCAGGATGCTGGACGGTTTGCAAACCTTCTACTACAGATTGAGATGGAACTTTCCCTGTTTGGTTCAGAAGGACAAATAATCATTCCTCAAGGATGTGGAAATGTTGTAAAGTCTCAACAGGCTCACTAACGTTACCCAAACATTATCCACCACTACAAGGATCACAAGTGGCTGCGTGAATGCGCAATTCTGGCACCAAGAATGAAACAGTGGCTGAAATCAACATGATTAGCAGACGGCTTCCGGGCAGTGAGACCTCATTCCAGAATCTCTGTTGTTACGGTAATCGACCAGGACCAAGCAGTCCAGTACCTTGCAATTCCTTGGCTGTTTTGGAGCCCGCTGGAATGCCTCCTCACACCTCACTCTCAAGATTGGAACTCCTATAATGCTCTTAAGAAATGTTGAACCACAAGGCTCTGCAATGGCACAAGACTGGTGGTGAAAAACATAAATGCCACATGTACTAGGCTTCTAATACTGACAGGAAAAAGCTAAAGGAGAGGACGCGTGTTGACGTCTGTTTATACCAGGATACCTCATCACCACTGACCTGCCATTTGAGTTCAAGAAAGCGACTTCAGTTCCCGGTTAAAGTGAGCGTATGACCATCTACAAAAGCCAGGGACGGTCCCTAAAGATGATTTGTCCCTAAACCTGGTGTTTTCCTTTGGCCTCTCGCATTCGATGCTCCAGAGTGGGGCTGGCAAAAATCTGTACATACTTGCTCCTAATAGCAAAACCAAAAATGTAATTTGTAATGCTACAGTGAGACAATGTGGAGCCTCTGGAGAACAGCCTCCTACCAGCCTAGCAAAAGAGCTGCCTGGAGGCGGCGTTTCTGCTGGAGTAATATATATATATATATATATATATATATATATATATATATATATATATATATATATATATATATCATGGAGATCCACAATGGAAACGTGGAAAAGAAGAATCTTAATAAAACCAAACAAGAAAAAGGAAACACTGTAGCACCTTAACTTTCGTCTTTATTCAAGACACCTTCACAGGCAACTGAATTTACAGGGAATGAGAGAGGCTTAAAAACAATGGGTGATCTTACATATTGTCATGGGTTGCGTTAGGCTTACCCACGCAACCAACTCCAAAGTTTGTTTTACCAGAGATAAGACGCCCGGCGAGGCATAACTGGGACATGTATTTTTCAATTAGTGTATGTTAGCCAGCCTTTAGGGGGGTGGGCAGTGAAACAGTGTTGTACTGTTCATCGCTTCACACCCAAAAACCTCATTTTGAGTAGTATCCCCTGAGCCATGGGTTAGTTAAGACGTCGTCTCCATCCTCTCCCTCCTGAAGGGGGGCGGGACACCACACCACACAGAGTCCTCCACCGCCACTCCGTCCTGTGAACCGTCGTCGACACGAGACTAAGCGTGTTAACCTAGGTTGTTATCCCCGTGGAAATATCACGTGTGGATGCCTGGTTGCGACAAGAGCAATCCAGGCTGGCCTATCAAACCTACAGTAAATGGTTAATTAATTCACGCTTACAGAGTTCTCCTGCACGACACCCGTCTACCGTGACCGTGATCGACACGAGACTAAGTGTGTTAACCTAGGTTTGTTATCCCAGTGGAAATATCACGTGTGGAAGCCTGGTTGCGACAAAAGCAATCCAGGCTGGTCTATTGCACCTAATGGTTAATTCAAGTCACGCTTACCAGTTCTACTTGCCGCGACAACCGTCCACAGTGACTGTCAGTGACGTGAGACTATGTGTGGTAACCCAAGAGTACCTTTTTGTTGTTATGGCCGTGGGAAGAAGTTCTTGTGATGAAGCCTGCTTGCAACAAAAGCAATCCAGGCTGGCAGTAAATGTATCACTTGAAGAATTAAGGCTCTGTTAAGTCACACCACAGTAGGGTAATCACATGTGTCCCCAAGTTGGAAATTCCCTGTTTTAGAAGATTAATTTTATTACAGCGTGAACGTGAGTAAATCATGTATCCATGCAAATTGTAAATCATTGTATGGAAGCTTGACAAATAAATGTAAGTGCAATTATCTGCCCGTATCTGTGATCCTATCTTATTATTGGTTATGACATAGTATCACCAATAACTTAGATGGATGTTGAAAATTAAATTAATTCATTAAATCATCATTTATCAAGTATAAATCATGGAATGTCGAGTGGTGGAGTGAACTTCTACGTAGATATGCCATAATCTCCTGTAAGTAACCAGTGTGAAGGTATCGAACTCTACGGTAAGAAATAAGAAATACGACATAATATTATCTTTATATAATATAATCCACTCCTACTCCTACTACCACCGATCCACCCCAAAACCATGACATATATATATATATATATATATATATATATATATATATATATATATATATATATATATATATATATATATATATATATATATATATATATATATCATGGAGATCCACAATGGAAACGTGGAAAAGATGAATCTTAATAAAACCAAACAAGAAAAAGGAAACACTGGAGCACCTTAACTTTCGTCTTTATTCAAGACACCTTCACAGGCAACTGAATTTACAGGGATTGAGAGAGGCTTAAAAACAATGGGTGATCTTACATAACATCACGTCAGGTCAATAATATAGGATCCACTACATAATTTTCTTCTGCATACAGGTATCAACAATATTACTCTACTACCATTTTCAATTAAATATTTTACATACCTCCTATCATTTTATAACCAACTAGACATGATGACTACATATTTTTTTATTATTATTATTCAGTGAAGTATCTTAAGAATATTAAGTGTGAGGCAACAATTCTTATATCAGTCAACGTGATAAACCGATGAAGAATGAATAGATAAATAAATAAACAGAAACCAGACACACACAAAAAATTATTCACATACATTATGTCTCGCAGTATTTCTAAAAAAAAATACATTCATAAGTCAAAGATAATTTATTCACAATTGATGGGAAAACTTTAAACATTAATTGAATGCAAAACAAACGACTTTTAAACGGCTAATGATGAAAGCAGTTCACAGTGAGTACTGTATACGGGAGAATATGAAGAAAAAATATACAACCTCAGATTGTAGTTGTAATAACACAATATAATATACTCTACTTGGTAAAGAAGTCGAGTTTCCTTAATTAGTAGTTGGGAAACAACCTTTACACCTTGTGGACTATTATGTATTTTGAATCTAAAAGAGACAGAATGCTTAACATTTATAATGCAGGATAGAACTCATGGTCTCAGAAGATCCAATTTCTGTGACCTCACGAGGAGTTACCATGTGAGGACTTCAAGATATCTAATGGCTTGAGAGTTAAATAGAAACTCGAGGACTAAAGAGCTAAAGAGAACCCACGAGCTGATGAATTCAATAGATCTCAACTTAAGCAGAGTTCAAGAGAACCAAACAAAAATAAAGCTCAAGAACACTTAACTGAAAGAAGCTCTAAAGAACCCAATAGCTCAAAGATTCATAAGAATTCAAGCGCTAAATAATTCATGAGAAACTAGCTGAAGGAGAGATCAAAACATAGCCCTATAGAGTTTATTAAAATCCATTTACAGTCACAGGTCTGTGGGGATGCAGGGGTTTAAGAAATCCTTGTTATGAAGTGCTGGTGTAATATATGAGAAGTTAACAGCCACTTCTGGCGACTGCTTCTGGCCAATTGCAGGTCTTTTCTGCCTGGTCCCAGTGGGTACCTTCCATGCATGTGTACAGCATCGGCTCCCCGTGCACACACCAGTAGTACTGTCCAGGGTTAAGTTATTTATATTAGTAAATACAAGACTAAATGTACAGTATATAGAAAAATTTGTTTGGATTAATCAAGAGGGTATATCAGAATATATGGTCACATGAAATTTACTATCCTGAGACCAGAACTTAATGTTGATGTAGCCTTACTTTAGAACAGTCTGGGTGGGGGAAGTACTGTTGAGTCGACATACAGTTGATCTTGTTAGCGACTCCAGGGGGAAACACTTCTAACGGAACGTCAGCAGCCTGAATTTCATCCTTTATTGGACTTGGAGGTTGTGGTTTTCCTGCCTGTGCTGGTGGCGCTATTGTGGCCACTGGTGGCGGTGCTGTTGCAGTGGCTGCTGGTTCTACTGCAGTGACTGCTGTTGGTGCTGCCGTCGGGGCCATTGGGGTGGTGGAGCTGGGATTCCAGGGCTTCCAATAGGTGACCTTGGGTGTGGTAGTAGTGGGGGGTGGCGTAGGCACCACGTAGTCCTTCATGTAGTCGTGCAGGATAGCAATGAGAGGGTTCACAGTGCCACACGTCCCCTGGAAGTCATCCATGTCGATGGCCCACGTCATGGCGCCGCCGTACCCATTGTTGATGATGAACTCCATCTTGATCCGGAGACTCCCCTCGTCCTCGTATCCTACCCATTGGTCGTCTGAATCAACCAAAAGAGGATTAAAAAATATCAATCCGTATTAACTCTTATACTTTATTATCAATCATTGTCAAGTATAGGTACATACCAGCATTGTTTAGGTACAGTTGTGTATAAGAAGAATTCGGCAGGGAGGGAGTATAAGCTGCCCCTGCCTCATAATTAAGCAAAAAAAAAATGTCTAGAAAGACAATTATAGATTTTTTATTTCGACTTCTATGCGACAAAACAAATCTCCACCTACCCCTACCTTCTCATACACCACCTCCCTCCTTCCCTCCCCATGTCTGCTAAATTCTTTTTGTCCACAACTGTACATTGTTTGTACCATCTACTGTAGGTAATAATTTAATGCTAATTTTTGACACCATACATCATATTACTCCTGTAGATAAAGAAAAACTATAGTGTCATTTTTTTTCTGTACGGTTTATTATAAATTTTATGCCATCAAAGAAGTTTTATCAAAGAGCGGCGTAATCAACCACAAACGTATTTCTATTAAGTCCTAAGTAACTTAATACATAACTAATAACATTTGAAAATGTAGTATTATATGATCACGATTTAACAAAATATATTATAAATGCTGTTATAATATGTCAAGTGTGTTACAAACATGGCTGCTCATACATTATATACCATCCTGTCTCTGGCAAAGAAGAAGATGCAGTCAGTAAAAATGGTTGCTTAAGACAAATACTAGAAATTAAACATATACATAATACCATTATCTGAAAAGCCTATAACATCCATTTTATATTATTATTAGTTTATAATATTATACATCATATGTATAAAAGTCACAAGCTATGTGGTCGGAAATAGCAGAAGTACTTGCTGGGCTTCCGTGGCTTTTTTTTTTTTTTGTATTTGACACTAACTTGGGGATCCAGCCACATAATTTGTTTTTGTTTTTGAGGTATGGATCGGTTTCACGCTGTCATCGTTTTGTAAGTCCATCAACTCGTCGATCTGATGAGGGTAGTAGGTAGGAGGCAGCTATCAAACAGGGTGGTACTACCCCCTGGGAAGATAATGGAAGCTTAATGTGTTGTCTAGTGGTAGACCCTGCTGCCATATGGCATCACGAAAATTGTGACCAAGTCCCAGGTTGCTCATCTCTAACTTTCTGCCTCATTTACACACAATTGCAGGGTTTCAATTGTTTCTCTTACTTTGACAACACGACATACATAGTATATTGTTTCTCACTATTGAATTTTCTTTCCATTTTGTATTTCCTTATGGTTATTTATTATTATTATTACAGTGTTGTTATTACTATTATTATTATTATTATTATTATTATTATTATTATTATTATTATTATTATTGTTATTGTTATTGTTATTGTTATTGTTATTGTTATTGTTATTGTTATTGTTATTATTATTATTATTATTATTATTATTATTATTATTATTATTATTATTATTATTTTATCAATTTTTGTATTTTTATTATTAATTTGATTTAATATGAATTATTACTATAATTACATTTTTGTCCCCCAGGCCCTGGTGTGGGTCAGTGACCTGTGCTCGGGTGGGCTAATCCCCGTAAAAAAGAAAAGAAAAACAAAGACACTTATTATTTTCGCAGTTAAAAAGAAATGGCTGAGTAATCCAAGAGGGAAAGTTCAATTGTTTGAGATCGGTAAATCTGTCGCTCAACTCAACATGCAGGTTATAAAGATGTTCAGAGATGATTCGGAGGACATCATCCGATGGTTCACATTTGCTGAGATGCGTCAATTGGGACAGCTTATTCTTCATGATCTGGGTCCTCCAAAAGTTCACTTTGTTTATAAAACCACAGATTTTGGTTTTGCAGTCAATGAGAGTCTTTTGTTCATCATGCAGTTCCTTATATAAAGCGTTCAATTTGCCAAAAATATCTGCAAGATGTGAAATAATGGTCTTGGATTCACTGGATTTAAAAAACTGATAGTCATCACGGTCCCCACCAAAGTCCAACAAGGTGTCGGAAGGAACACTGAACCTTTCCAGACATTTGCCTTTCGAGAGCCATTGCACAGAGAACTATACATAATCCTCCCCAATTCCTCCCCTGCCCAAAATTCCTCCCCTTGGACTTGAAATTCCTCCCCCGGGGGTCCAAGTGGACCCTGTTGAGAACAACTGCTCTAGACCAATATACATGTCTACTGGAGGGGCAATGGGGTATTTGGTCGACTCAGCATCTTGAATGCATTTAGGACCTTTGTGATATATTTCATCAAAGTGCTCCAGCAAATTTTCCTGTACAGTCAGATCCTGTGAAGGCATGGAAACCTGGGAGGCTCTCTGCCCAATAACATCATATGGATTTGAAAGAAACAATGTGTCATCGCTCACCAGTTCCTGTTATCGTACTTGCATTTTCTTCATGTTGAGGCTGCTTTGATATGCCTAGAACAAAGACACCAGTGTCTGGTGACATCATACGTACGGTTGTGTGTGTGTGTGTGTGTGTGTGTGTGTGCGTGTACATACAGGGTGGTGTAATGCGTCTAGTGTGGCAGCACTATGTTAGTGTTAAGGTGCAAGCACTGCTTGCTTCCTCGGGCTCTCAGCTACCGCCGCTGGCTAGCCCTCGTGGCGAACAAGGAAGCAGCTTGCATAAGTCCTCCACTGCCAGTACACAGCCTCTTCACCAGCAAGACTCCTGTTGTGCCTCTGTGTGGCAACACAAGGTAATCGGGTGCCTCGAGACCTCAGGCTAGATCACCAGGGGATCTCGGAGTAGCAGTGGGCCCCAGAGGGACGGCGCATAGACCCACTGGCATGTGGACACGCCCTGGCGCCTACCAACCACTGCCCCGCTGCCTTGCGGATTAGCCTTGGCAGGTATAAGGCTACGGGAGTAAACCCCGACCGAAAAATCTGCGGTGGAGCCCCGCATCAGGCAAACTTACTTACAGAGCTCCACCCCAACGGCGGTATAGGCAGAAGAGGTGACCAGCATGGGAACCCAACGACTACACCGGTGGAAGAAGGCAATGCATGATGGACAGGCTACTAAGGCGAAACCCAACAAACTGGGCTATCAGCAGTCCATTGCAACTCTCCTTCTCCCCAGTCACTGCAACACTTGCACCACTGGATCAGGAAAAGGGAGAGCCAAAATGTGTGGTTGCAGTCTGCGCTTCTGCCTCACCACATAGATCAACTCATGCACAGCCATTATCCAGCTCATCATACTCTCATCATCATCAAACCCTTATACCCCAAAAGTTCTATGGGGATGGCCGAGTGGCGACGGGGACAGGCAGAGATGCATGCCGAGAATCTCTAGTCACAACTCTGCAAATGGGCGGCACAGATAAGATGGTCGTTTATGAACTGGGATCTAGGCAGCAGTGCAATCCGGTCCTGTCTATTCGACTGAGCAGCCCATTCGAGGAGCCACTCTGCTCACCCCACATGGGGAGGGGGCTGGAAAAGGTGCCCTAAACATAGTCTGCCCAAAGAACGAACCTGACTGGGCAACCGCACCCAGTAAGGTCATCCTTATGTGGTCGAAAACACAATTATAATCACAGATAAAAAACAAAAACAAAAAACTATACAACCTTTTATGGTCGCTGCATGGAATGTCAGGACCCTTATGGATACTGACTCAAATGCACGTCCTGAAAGAACCGCGTTTAGTGAGTCCCGGCTCCCAGACGAGGGTTGACTCACAGAACGGGGGTCTGGCTACACCTTCTTCTGGGAGGGTAAGCCTGTTGTGGGGAGAAACCGCATTTATGGAATTGGCTTTGCCATCCGCTAACACATCCTACACAGGCTAACTGAAATGAGTATTGGCATCAACAAGCACCTCATGACGTTCAAAGTCCCACTGAATCACTCACATCATGCCTTTTTCAACAGTTCATACGCTCCAACACTGGATGCAGAGGATGAAATAAAAGGAGGCCTTTTATGCCGACCTTGACAGAGTGCTAACCTCTATCCCTGGAGGAGATTGGGTTGTGCTCCTTGGTGACTTCAATGCCAGAGTTGGTAGAGATACTGACATTTGGTAGGGAATCATAGGGGAAAATGAACTAGGCAAGTGTAATTCCCCACGGCCTACTCCACCTCAGCAAGTGTGCTGCACATAACCTCATTATCACCAATACTTTGTTTAGGCAGGCCAACAAGTTCAAAGGTTCGTGGCACCACCCAAGATCCAAACACTGGCATCTCACTGACTACAGCATTGTCTGAGAAAGAGATCGCCGAAATGTCCTCATCACCTGAGCAATGCGTGGCTCAGACCACTGCCACACTGATCATCGGCGTGTTAGAGCCAAGCTCTCACTTCACGTCGCCCCAAAATGGCGAGGCAACAAATCTGCAGAAGAAGTTTTAACACTAAGCGTCTGGAGGATCCAGTGGTAGCACATGATTTCAGAGAGCAGCTCGAACATGGGCTGATAAACAACCCAAATCCCAGTGCCGAATGGAGCATTCTTGACACGGTAATGACAGATAGACTCTTGGCCAGGTCGAATGAATACACCAGAATTGGTTTGATGAAAATGACCTGGAAATCAATGTATTCGTCGATGATAAACGTGCTGCTTTAACTGACAGGCGTAACAACCCTCAGCCTAGGACCCTGCGCAAGAAGAAACCAGCAGCCCATTGCAAACTTCGCAAACTAAAGAACTACTGGTTTAAAAATAAAGCATGTGAAACGCAAAAATTTGCAGACTAACACAAGATGCGTGAATTTTTCAATTCCACTAAAACATTTTATGGGCCAATCACTCATGGCGCAATCCTCCTCTGCTCATCCGGTGGTAACTCCCTAATTAAAGACGAAGAAGGCATCCGTCAGCGCTAGAAAGAGGACTGCCATTCACTGTACAACCGAAACACTGATGTGGATGTCCTGGCTATGCAGCAGGTCCCCCAGCACCCAGAGCAGACCCATCTCAGCTATCTTCTTTCCCTGGGTGAGATAGCTACTGCCATCAAACAGATGAAAAATAACAAAGCCTC